TTCGCAGCGCACTTCGATCGCATTACTCGCGTACATTACGACTGAACTCTAATAACCATGTGTTTGAATTACGTGCGGCAATGGGCAATGACCTCAATGAGTTCACGCACTGACATTTAAATTCGGGCCACCCAGTTTGACGCAAAACGATATAGTTACTTAACATTTCTTCAACAAATCGGTAAACTCTCGTGAAGAGTTAACTGAAAGGCAACATCGTTTTTGACCAAAAAAACAAAAACACGTCAATATAAGATTATGTGTGCGAGGTTGGATTTATAAAACGTACATGACCGCTTAACTCTGTTTTTTTTTTAATAATCATGTCACACGTGAAACAAAGGAGACATTTTAGTTCGTCCATTTCTTGTTTACCGATCTTAAACTTTTTGTCTGGAATGCGATACAAGGCAAAGAATAAACATTAATGATACCCACCGTTGTCAAATCAACAAGAGGCTCGAATCAGGAAGGCTCGACTATTTAAAACTTCGTAAATAACATTCTTTTCATGTGGTAGACTTTATTCAAGTGTAACAAATGTAAGTGAAATGTATGGACGAGTCATAATACTCGTACCTTCGAAAGTTACGACTTTTACTCTTGGAATTGGTGATAAATACATGCATAAAATACAACATTGTTTCACGCAACAACAATTCGTATGCAGCATTGGACTTGGATGGATTTTTATATTAATAAAATATGTGGGCCGATAATATTACCATATGCTTAGTATTTCCATGCCAGCTATTTGAAACAAAGACTCATGGAATTACAAAGGAAACTGTTAAGTACGTATTTCACACCTTTCCTACGACCGCGGTTGCAACCGGTACTGGTTGCCACCGCCGTAGAGACCCTTAATTATAAGCAGTCCGCGGCTCTCCCCGGTGTACCGCGGAGAGTCGCTGTGATTACCATGGTGAACCGCCCGTTTGATTTCCTACTCTCCTTTTAACCAATACAAATTAAAATAAAGGTTGCTTCATACATGTAGATGGACTTTCACTGCTTGGAATTTGGGCAATTGCAAGATTTTATGGGTAAATTTCACAACAGTCACACTATGTTACAAAATGTTATAATTTTCACAGCCTCACAGAATTTGTGAAAATCAGTCTCTCGTAAAACCAAATTGGTACACTGTATGTCCTATTTGCTGTTGTTCAATTTCAGTTTTTGATTCTCATTGTTGTATTGCTGACCCATTAACAAATAAACAAGTTCACTCCATGTAAAAATATTCAATATACCATATTGTTTTAAAATGTGTCATTATATGAACTTAACTAAACGTTACCAGGGAGTTATTAATATAGGCTATATGTCCAAACCTTGCAGGAGTGGCACCCCCTGTACACTGTAAAAACTGCAACTATGAAAAAGACTTGAAAGGAGGGGTCAAGTTGGCATAGGGCCTACATGTACTTGTCTAATACCAGTCTTATAAAATAGAACTGGTGGCTTGTTTTCCTCCCTGGTGTTGAAACATATACCGGTATATTTGAATACATCAATATTGATTGTTTTTAATGGCAGGATATAATAATATCAAAACCAATTGATTAGTGAGGGCAGTATGGAATGTGTATGGTAAGATAATGTGTATAAGTACTTTGATGGGAGAGTAAAAACAGATGACATATTGGGTATTTTGACTTATCTTCCCTATGGATTGTAATCCATAGCATTGCCTACAGTGAGTAGTGTTTATCAGGGCACCAAATGATCCACTTTTGAGTCCGTAATCTTCTGTAAATCTTGTGTGGAATTAATTTGGCCATGAACAGGAAGTCTTTAAGTCACTACTCTCTTATTACTAAATACAGTAATTGCTCTATTAGTAACGCATGTACTCATGAATGACAGAGGTGTGTCTACTATGGTCATACGAAGTATGTTTCAATAATCCTGTATATGTGAATTTTGGTTTGAGTGTATTTCTGTCAGAGATTTTGTAATAAAAGGTGTTTCTCTAGTTCAAATAAGTAATATTTGTACAATTTAGTTTATAATGAATATAATTTTGGTTTATGCACCTTTAACAGAACAAAAACAGTTTTACTGGGAATATTACACCCTCAGTTTTTAGATGATTAGCTAGTAATTAGGCCCTGTACAACAAAGAGTAAAAACAGGGACTATTAGTTTGGGTTTCATCTACTGTCTGCTGATTTCATCAAATTTGGTATAGTGACTGTTTGCAGTTGCAGGTTCACATTGCTAATTTTTGATGGGTCTGCTGTCAATCATTTTGTTTTTTTCACTATACCTGTTTCTCTGGATCAAATCTTCACTGTTAAGTTTAATCTCAGTGACTTAACATGATTTTCGAGTATATTCTGCCCTGCCTACCGAACTTGTGGTATTGGTTTGGGAGTCTGGTTTGTACTTGCAAAAAAGTAGGCACAGCAGTTACTTCAGTGGTCAAAATTGTTGCCTGACACAAAACTATTTCTCCGAAAAATTATTTCAGAATGTTAACCTTTTCACCACCAGTTCCTACTTTTCATCACAAATTCACAAAATAGTCCTGTTTATAGTCTTCACATTCCTCCAGAAGATTGGGACAAAAATAGTGTAATTTTTGGAGTGAAAATTGATTAAAATTGTGTCTGTTGCCCCCAAAATTAGGGTTCATTTCCAGAAATATACATGTAAGTATGATAACATAAGTGCAGAATAATTTGGGCGAGAAAGTCTGGTGATGAGAAAGTTAAAGTACTTTAAATATTGATGTGCATTATGTCATTTTTGTTGACTTGTTTTATTTTTATTTTTCAGTATATAACTGCGCCCTTGAACCCATATTTGGTCAAGTCCATGTCAAAGTACATATACCTGTACATGGAGCTGGCAGGATATGGGTTAATGCACTTGCTGTTATATTTGTATTCAGCCACATACATACATACATACATGCTGTAGTAATGACATGCTTGTATAGATACCAGCATGTACAGTATAAATAATCCTGTCAGGTCTGGTGTTCAGTATGTCCAGTAGGGAATGTTGTTGAATATCTTGCACTCATTAGTATTAGTGTGTTATGTAAACAATCCATGGGAGACATGATTGGATTGTGTGGTCTTAGAGATGACCACATGAGGTTAGTTGTCCGGTCATGTTACTGCAACTAGGTCCTATAGGTATTCCCCCACTTGCAGGCACCACATGATGTAATTTTGTATTTAAAAGATTTCAGCTGTTTATCTGGTTTTATGCTATACTGTGAAACTCAATTGAATCTCAACAGTGACAAGTATTATTTCATTCTTGCTAAAATTGCCCAGTCTATGTGGATTAGTCAAATTGGTGAAATAATTTGCCTTGCTTTGCAGACCCGCTTTGTCTGTCATGTGGGCTATACTCAGTAACCCTTCAAATGTTTTCTGACAATCTTAATTAATTTTCAATCAAACTGACATAACTTTCCTATTGGTTACATGATTTGATAACAAAATTAAAAAAAAAAAAATAATAAAAGTTGGCTGGCGTTATTGTTACTGCAGCATTTATCTTAAAGTTGTTTGCAGAAGTTAACATTTTGCAAAATACCAAACCAGTAATATGGTGGGAAAACATAATTGCATTGACAGGGGTTAAATACTAGTGTTGGTATTTGTAGGAATTGTGAGTATTTTTGAGAAAAAATAGATAACATTTCTGCACAGAAACCAGACCTTATAATAACAGATAAGTCAGACTGTGTGTGTGCATGCTGTGTTGAGCCATTAGATAACTGATCTTAAATAGTCAATCCATAAACTTTTAAGATAAATTGTTTTTATTACTTTGATGATTACTTCTAATTATTCCACCAAAATCATATCACAGTCATGCGAGTGGGGAATGTCTTGCTTAACCATGTTGGTCTGTACTCTGTGGTGGTCTGTTTATTCAACCCGAATCAGTAACCTATACAAGGCTAAGAGCTACATGTAGTACTGTAAAATCTGTATTAGAAACCGCGGCTTCTATTAAAATGGTACAATGCAATAGAGGGGATGCGGCTTCTATTAGAGCATCTACACATATGAGAAATGATGATTTTTTGGTTCTCAATTTTTCAAAAAGAATGGTTGCGACTTCTATTAGGGATGCGGCTTCTAATACAGATTTTACGGTAGTGTGTATAGTCAAATAATTTCATTTATTTCATATTGTCAAATAATATGAAAAATAAATGTAGTCTATTTGTTTAGGGGGATGCAATGGTCATGGATGATTTTAATTACTTTGTTCAAAAATCATACTGTGTTGTGTGTTTTTTATATTGTTTGTTGCATTTATTTCACACTTCAAATTTTTGTTTATATTCGATTGCTGTTATGGTATTTTTTATGAGTCATCATGCACATAATACAGCAGCACATCATGCATCGCCATAAACGTTCTGCATTCATTACTACAACATCCAACCATATCTAGATGCCTTTCCCTCCATCGTTATTTCATACTAGTATGAATCAGTATATGATCTTATAAATCCACCATTGAGGGTGTGACTTTGGCTAGTGACCAATGTTCAGGCAGCAAATCTATGTAGTAGCCAAATTTTAATGCCGACTCTCCATTGGCACCAAGATCTATTTTTGTTGACGGTGCCGACAGTCGGGACAGAGTCAGCATGTGCTAAAATCTGTAATGTGAACACCACTTGTGTTTGCTGTTTTATTCATCCATGTCCCCAAGATCACCTGCTAATAATTAGATTTGTAAATGTGAGTTCAGTGAACTTAAAGTGTTCAAGCTTGACAAATATTTGCTTCTAACTAATATGGTGCTCCTGTTGTGTACCTGTAACTTAACTTTACTTTGTCTTGAGGGACGGCATTGAAAGATTCACAGTTTGTTGATGAGTTTTATAAAAAACCCTGAAAAAATAAATGTTTCTGTGATTGAATATAATATCCTTGCAATCAGCGCTTTGAAAGCTGATGTGCTTAATTATCTTTTTACCTGGTCATGGAGATTAACTGGTCTCAATTTCACTTGCTTCCTTGAAAGGTTTGAAATTTGATAACCTGAAACCTATACAAACCCACCAAAGAGGACGCTCTTCAAGAGTTCTTTTTCATAAAAACGGGTCACTGTTGATTGAGGTTAAATAATATTAAATCATTCCAATTAATCCTAATTTGAATCTAATTTATCTTGCGTCGCTTAATTTTATTATTTGTTTTGTCTTAACAGGAACCTCTAGAACGAGAAGAAGAAAGAGCGATAGGTTGTTGCAATAAAACTGGTAATTTATCAATAAAAATAGAATTGGACAAAAAAGGCTATCAACCCGGTGAAAGCATGTATATAAATATGCAGCTACATAATAATAGTAGAACTAGGATATCATCAGTGTCATTACTATTAGTTCAGGTAAGCAACCCTGTGTGCCATTGTTTCAAAAGCCATTCAGTATGGCAGCAAAATAGGGACAGCTGTAATTTTCACTGATGTTTAATTTCACTATTTTGAGCTCACAAATCTGGAAAATTAAAGTAAATAATTAACATAGGTGTACAGTTATGGATTGAGGTCAATCATTCCGTGACAGAAACAAATAGGACAAATATCCTGGATTTAAGTCTCATTTCATTTTGTGGTGATTTGAAAAGATTTTACATCTTTATCTTTACATGGGATGTGAAATTAATTGATAATGATAATATAAATGGCCACTAGGTGGACATAATATTGTTATAATGATGATTACGAGAATATACATTGACTTTGTAACTATGGTAACTAAAGTACCACAGAATGGCAACTACTTTAAATAGTATCAAATTCCGAGTTGTTATGCACCTGGGATTTCTGTTTACTGGGTTTTCATTAATTATATTACTGGGAATTAAGAGCTTTCACAGTACAGTTGAAATATCGCGTATTGCAAAACATATTTTACAGCTGCATTTGCAAACTGTGTTGTTGCAATTTTTTTAGAAAATCACCAATGAGTGAAAACAGAAACCTGGTATTGTTTTTCTACACTGAATACTATGTAAAACGCCATTCACTTGGAGTACATTAAAGAGCCATAAGTAAAAAAATTGACAAACAAACGTCAGTGTCATACTGGCGTCAAAATATCATGTTGGGTTTGGCATATGCGAAAATATTTTTTGGGTAATTCTATGCTCAATAATGTGCTATGCATTGTTGATGTATCGGTCAATTTTGATGAAGTATTGCAATGCAATATTTATTTGTCATTGAGCTATGAAGTAGAATTTGAATTAAAAAAAAAACACCAAATCATTCGATTTTTGCAATACGCAAGATCTGGCACTGAATGGAACACCACCCATTTCCAAACTATATGCATGCTATTATCATATGGTATTGTCAGTGCCATCACATACAGCATTTGTTGTAATATATTAACATGTGTACATTATGACAGTCATTTTAGCTCACTATTGAACTGAAAAAATACAATAAAAGTTGGTGAAAAAATTGTGTCATGTCCCTTCAATATATATGTGTATTCTTCGATAGATATCGTCATTTACGGCGTCACCTCCAGGCCTGAGTGGCGCTATAGCAAAGGGTGTCTTTGGTAGAGCCACACAAACTAGGTCATGTAGGCAGGTTATGAGCAGACTTGAAGAGGAAGGATGTGGAGCAAGAAGTTCAAAAAGTTGGGTTCAAAAAGAACTCAAGATTCCAATTGCCTGCGCAACGACGGGACTAGAAGGATGTGCATTCATTGACGTGAAATACCACGTCGAGGTCAGTGTGTATGATATTAATAATGAACAATTGTTTTCATATATGTAACTTACTTCTTGTCTGTTAGAGGAACTTTATGCAAGACCAGTAGATACATGATTTGTCTGAAATGTTCAACTTACATTTGCGAGTACAGTTGCAGCCTTCTTTTTGGTCAAGCTTAAAGCGGGGGGAGTCGTCACCTGCGCATGCGTCAGATGGCCATAGCGTGTCATTGTTTACAAACAAGCATCTACCCATGAGCCTTAGCGTTCTTAGTGTGTGTTGTTTCCCCGTGCGTACGCAGGTGACGACCCTCCCGCTTTAAATCATAATTTACTAAACACTGTACATGTATGTGAATTATCAAAGGCTTGTTGGGCAAAAGTATGTTGGGTATAAATGTACAAAACAGTAAGGCAAGACAAATAAACTTTATTGTTCATTGATTTAGCTTCAACAAAAGGATTGTCGAGGGTTGTCTGTGCGACTTCCCAACTGCATTCATAGGCTTTGTTCACTACCGTTGATCAGCCTGTTCATTGTTTGCTAATATTTCCTTTGAAGTTTCTGCCTTGTGTACATTATTTAAAAGACATACAAGATGAGTATAAACATTTACCCTTTTTGGCATAAAAAATCACTGCCCAAATGTTTTCTCAAGAAAGATCTTATGAACAAGATTTTATTTTTGTCTGGCCTCAGTGTGAATAAGTATAGTAGACACTAGTAACTAACTTGGTATCTCATATTTCAGTTGCAGGCCTCATTCACAGGGTTTTGTAATCCAGATTTAATTATGAAATGCCCAGTAACACTTGGAGTATTTAATAGACATAGGCGGAGACATCATCATCATCATAGACATCACAATCATCATAATGCTTCTGGTGGAATCAATTCTACAGCAAATACAACTGGTACAACTGTTCCAACATCCGAGGGTCTACCAGCTGATCTTAGTGCAATGCAAAGCCAAATAGAACAAAGCTTAAGTAAGTATTTTTTTTAATGATATCTATAAATAGTTTATGCTTTTTCCATTCCTTGCATTCAACTTCAAATGTGGTGTCTTAAAACGCAAGTACAAAAATGTAGTCCAATTGTCATGGTGGACAACTCTAGTGAAATAGGGCCATCAGTGGTCACATCGATAATTTCTTTTGTTTTTTGTTGGATTTTTTTCATGAGAATTATTTTTTAGAAAGCTGAACAAATTTAATTTTATTTCTCGTCTTTTTCGCTTGTCATTTTGCTTTCGACTTCATCAGTTGATAACTTGTTTTAACCGCAGTGAAAGTGATTAACTTCTTTTGAATTTAGATCAGATCACTTTAATATAATGGACCAACATCAGCTAAACTACTTGCTGCTTGTTGTATTATTTTGAAGTAAACAACTACATCGTTTGTTATTGTAAATGTCATTTTTTGCAGTTAGTCTGTCTGTGTGGGTGGGTGTGTGTGTGTGTGTGTGTGTGTGTGTGTGTGTGTGTGT